AGAGGCAGGAATAGTTTGACTTTATAAACTTAAACAAAAATTATATTCGATTTAAGGACTAAGGTGGAGTGTTGTACATAAATGCCTTAAGTACGGAAGCTAGTCAAAGAGGCATCAATTAGCTTCATGTTGAAATGCTGGATTCTCAGTTCTATATTAAAATGAAGATTTCATGTGAATCCCATTGAATGTTGTCTTGTGACTCATTAGTATATACCAAGCAAGAGAATAATGCTTTTCGAGCGCTATGGTCGGCTAAATCGGAGGTCATTGGTCAAGTAACATTTCCCTCAGAGCAAACGGTGAGAATCAATCTGGCTTCCTGTTTAACTTCAATTTCCGCAGAAGAATCATGCATTTCATCGGCGCTTTACAATAAGGCTATATCAAGGACACAAAAATGATAATCAAAGTTTGTTAAACAGCATCTAAAATTTGTTCAATTTAAACAATTAAATTTAAATTTGTTCTTCAAATATCAGATATCAAAATACAATGCCTAAACAATGTCATTTTCGCGGTAGTTGTCTGAGCTTTGTGAAGAGATTGCCGCTACCTTTCTGTCGCTTTTATCGTCGTTAGTTTTCTTATCACCGTTTAGGCTTACATGAAAAGGGTCGATGATCGAGTTGTCCAAACTTAAATAAGAGCTTTATGAAAGTTTCCTGTCGCATCTGCAGTATAGCTGATTTACATCCAACATTCTCATTCATGACAACGGCAGAAATCAGTTTTTACCAAACTCGTAATATTTCTGAGAAAAATTTCTCGCAAAAAAAAGGAATCCTTCGCATGGCGCTGATTATTACGTCATAGAGTGGATTTTTTTTAAACTTAACTTAACCAATTTAACCAATCATCGATCAGTCACAGGACCATTAGTCTCCCTGTTCGAGGGTACACGAGCTGGTCATACTCGCTCCTTAGGCTGATACTGACACTGATGGCAAACCTTTCTACAAAACAGACCTGATAGCAGGGAATCTCCAAGCAAGTAGGTGGATACCTTTATCTGTTCAGGCATTTCTTTAAACCTTCAGCGTAAGAAAGTGTCACGCTTTGTCGCTCATTTCCAAACCATCTTCGTTTTCGCTTTTTATGTAAGAAATGCCATTTCCAGTTGGTTACGTAAGCTTTGGGAAGAGTTTGTTTGTTGGTCGTTTCCTGTAGTTTCTGTCATAGCATGTGCTCCTATAAATTGTACATTTGCTTCCTGTAAAAGAACTTGAAATTTGATTCTCATGTTTCACTATAAAGCGGACTTTGATCCGGGGGATAGGTAGGAGAGCAACGGCTGCCAGCCGTTGCTCTCCTACCTCCTTGAAACTAAAAAAAATCTAGATTGTGTAGCTGCGTTTCAAAGCGGACTTTGATCGGCTGCTGTTTCATTCATCTCCTTGAAATAAAATCGAAGAATTTAAATTAGATACTTACATTCATAAGTCGGGTAGGTATACAATTTTTGTGAGCAAATACTCCGAGGGAACTAGCCCTGTAAGCACCTTCCCGCCAGCACTTACCGATCGAGAAGTCGATTTTTCCTCGCAGCATCCTACCTTTTCGCATAAAAAAATATCAGCACAAAGTTCCAGTATCATAAACATCTAAAGGCAATACGTGCAAAACTCCAACTTGTCCTCTCCTTTGATTCTTACCACGAACTTATGTTTCGTACAATCTTTCCTATATTTCCATGGCCATCTTTAAATAATGCCTTGTGCATCAAGAACTGATGAAAAAAACAGTAGCTTTCGTTTTATCTTTCATAGAACGACTAATTTCAGTCGCCTCAGTGTGACGAAAACCGCGGCCTAAAGACGTACTGCCCCTTTTTCCATCATTTCAAAAGCCTTTTGTAGGACTGCGTGTTTTAAAACAATTGATCTTTTATTAAAATGAAAATAGAAAAAACACTGCGATAATAGAAACCATTCATGAGGTAATAAAGAAGAAAATCGTTTGATTATTCATTGCTTTGTTTCAGCAGAAGGATGAGTGACATCGAAAGGCAAATACAGGACTCTGTTCAAGACCTTCGACAACAATTACAGAGCATGCCACACGACATGCGGAGTTTTTCTCTTTGCATAAGAGCCCTTTACTAAGATCAGGCTTTTGGCACTAGTACCGAAGGCGCCATAAAGTTCAACAAACTCCGTGACGACACCAGAATCGACGCAATGATATACCTAAAAGGTATCCTGCCGCTTTTGACCGAATTGCTTTGCACGCAACAGCGAGCAATTTGAGTACTATGAAGTCCTGGAGTACAATGAATTGCGTGTGCTGATTCCTGACATCTTTGAAGAAACCATTGGCTACAGGGAGCTGTGTCCCAAGGTATTGAAAATGCACTAAGACATCTAGTGCTACTTAAAGACTAAGCCTGCGTTATTGTAAAAGAATTGAAACACCTTCAAGGGGAATTTGAAAAAAAAAGAAGAAAGAGCTAGAAGATAAGGCAGGTAAAAAATGCGTCTGGGCGATTGGACTTGCCTTTATACTATTTATTTACTTGGTAGCAACCCTTGCATTGTGTGCTGTTGCTGAATTAGATTTGGCACATGCAGTTGGTAAAGGCCACCGGAAGCGAAAGTTCAAGAAGCTGCCGCTGTCACAGTCAGCAACACCCTATCCCTACCTTGAATTCGAAAAAAACAGCCGGGTTCCTCTCCGTAATGGAGCAGGAATTTAAAGAATTTAATGGAAAAGCTGAGAAAGCAAGAGCGACAGCGACAAATTGTATCATACATTTATGAAGGCACAAGCAAGTGACACGAAAACCTTCTGCCAATGTTTCTACGCTGTTCTACCAAAGGTCAGGACCGATTTCTTTGCCATTCAATCCAAGGTAACAGATCATGCAGAACTACGTCTTCGGGGCTCCCAAAATCATCGCTTGGACTTTACCCAATTGCGTGTTAATTCCTTGTGAAAAAACCTGCATTTTATCACGCATTTCACTCACAAGAGGGTAAAGCCCAAATAGGCAACAACCAATCAAAGAGCCCTCTTTGAAATATGATCATTTTCTGTTGTTAGTCGGGCGATCGACTATAGGTTTACCGTCGGGTTTCTCCACAAAGCTCAGTCAGGTGCAATGGGGAATACCGCAGACACGTAATAGAGGCGCAACCTTCTTTCCACCATGTCGAACATGGCGGATTTGTTGAATATCTTAGCGAATGGTGTCATCTTTTCTACGCTCAAGCATACAAACCCACGCACCGTTCGCGGTAGACCCACTCTAAAAGATGGCTTGTGTAATGAGCGTATATTTCGAAACGGGTCGTTCCGCGAACTCAAAATAGCAAAAGAATCAAATGATTTCGCGAAGGTCTCACTAAAATCAAACCAGAAATCAAATGAGTTATCAGTGAACAGATAATGTGGACAGAGTGACCGAAGAACATTTGCTGATAAAGACAAGGTGCTTCAAACTCTGGGAAACAACGAAAGATGCCATGTTGGACTTTCATCTGAGTGAGGATTAACGTAATTGTTATATTTATGTAACCTCTATCGTGATTATTAAGCTAACATTCGTTATGTTTTCGCTCAAACGGAGTACATTATCAGCTGTTATTTTTCCATTTGTTCCATTAGTTTTGTCGCTTTTGCGCATATATTATATTCGCATATTGTTGAGCAGGAATGTTTGTTTGGTGCCAAACGAAGTGGTGTCAAATAAGGTAAGTAATAAAACATGAGGCAAGTACTAAAACATGGAACGACCTAAAACCACCTACAACCATCTACAACCACCTCAAAAATTTCAACAACGACCTACAACCACCTCAAAAACATCTACAGCCACTCGCAAACTATCTAAAACCATCTAAAACAAGGCATAAATGTCTTAAATAAGGCGAAACTACATGTCACGTACACGAAATACGAGAATAGAACGAAACCTCCACCTCCCCCTGAAATCTTACTCTCCCTGGTCCCATGTGTAATCAACCATCTCACGAAACGAAATGCGAGTTTAAAGACCTAAAGAACTTTACTGGTTTTAGGTCGTTCCATGTTTTAGTACTTACCTGTCAAATGAATCGAATGTGATGATGTATTGGACAATGTAGCGCCACGTATAGAACAAAAGTGTGGCGAATCAGCGTTGTGTATACAACCAAATGATGCTGCAAAAGAAATAAAAATGCAAAATAATTCAGGTCTCGTTATGCGATGTTTGTCAATCGTTGTAATATAAACAATGATGATTACCATGTGCGAAGACGATTCGATCGTGAGCTCAGAAGAATACCTGTAAAAAAACTAGAAAAGTTCTCACGTAAAAGCAAACAAATAAAGAAGTAAGTGTGTGGGCGAATTCTTAAAAACATTCCTGTCTCGTCAAAAATGTATCGCTACATCAAATGCAGACTTAAAACAAGGAGCAATAATGACAGTATCAAGTTTGTACAAAAGATGAGAAAAAAATGGCCTTCTACACGGTCAACACTGAATCGAAAATCGTCGAGTTGTCGAGAGTCTTTGGACAAATCTTCAAAATGGGGAATCTTTGAAAGCGGGAATCTTTAAAAACGTAACAATTTTTTTGGCAGATGGGAGTGTCACTCGATTATCATTTCTATTATCAGCCTGAAAGATAAGTCAGTTATCAGCCCTGTAAGCAATCATGATTGAATACTCTGATCTACATCATTTTCCGGTATTATCTTCAGAGTTCAAAATAACAGCCGCCTGCCGTTTTAAAAGCTTTCTGGAAACGTGAACAAGTAAAAAGTTTCGAAATTTGAAACGTGTTACTGGGAGGAATTTTGGTTACCGTATTCAGCTTTTACGTATTTGTTCAAGCGTTAAACATGCAAGTCTGTATCCATACCGTCAATTTACCGTGTTTATGTTTCTGCACGTACATACTACTTTTAA